AAAAAAATAAAAAAATCCGGCCCAAAAAAAACATGTTCCAGGGAGGTCATAGTGTGTGGGCTTGGTTGGGGGGGGGGGGTTTCCTTTGGGGCCGTGTTAACTCCTTGCAAATTCCTTCAGGGGTCCCTGCAGTTTTCTAGGCAAGATTTTCAGAAGTAGTTTGCCATTGCTTTCTTCCTAGGACTGAGAGAGAGAGAGACTGTCCCAAGGTCCCTCATTTGGCTTCATGACTAAGGCAGGACTAGAACTCCTGGTCTCCCAGTTTCTAGCCTGATACCTTAACCACTACTCCAAATGACATTATCTGTGGTTATCACCAACTCCTTCCCTCCCTCCCTGCAATTTATGTGCCACTCGAGCCCAAACAGTACTCTGAATGGTATTCTTTACAGAAGCACTGTGAGCTTGTAGGAGAGGCTATTTTGAAATACAGGGTAAGTGTGATGCAGCAAAATTCTACCCTACTACTCTGAAAGGTTTGCTGCCGTTAAAGCTCCAGAGTGAGTCATTGAATGTAATTGACCAACTGGCAAATGGGCTGGTAGATGTTTGACTGGAGAGTGCATCTCAGTAATGACCTTTCTGTGGCAATGAGGGGGAAAGTAATACAAATTAAGACAAGAAACTGTGATTGATATAGCACATCACTTCCAAATTCAATCCATGACATCTCTAGGTTGGGCAGGAAAAAGTTGTATAAAACTCTCAGGAGCCACTGACAGCAATTCAGATAATAATGAGATAGTTGTACGAGCCATCTGATTCGTTATCAGGCAACTTCCTGGAAACTTTTACCTAAGTAGGCTAATATACCTGATAAATTCAGTCCAAATTAAATCTGAATGGGCTGCTTTCCAAACAGTGGCAAAAAAGTCTAGGAAGCCTTATTCTTGATGTTACATTATTATACTTGAGGTCTAGTGCTTGTGGAAAAGCATCCCATCTCAGTGCATAGAAAAAGGCCTGTATTTATTTATTTGTAAACACATCACCTTGTATGGCTGCCCCACTTGCCAAATGACTTATTAAAGATTACACCTGAGGAACTTTTAAAAAAATATTGGTATGGAGAAATAAACACCTACATGACTTCTAAAAAAGTGGGCAAAGGGGAAGAAAACAATGGCATGGACTAACCTCTTGCTCTCCTTTGCCACTTCTCGTTTTTCTTTTGCTTTGTTGAATGAGTGTTTCTCACTTGACTACTATGTCACTTGCCACTGTAATATCACATGTTGTGTCCAGTAATACCTTCTACAGTATTCAACACAGTCCCCATTATCTCAGCAGAGCAGGGTTGCATTTCCCCTATGACAAGATGTTGTAGTTTGATTGCTGAATAAATGCTATTACTGTAGTTTTCTTGCCCAGAGTTGTCTAGATTCTGTGCCAGATCTAATTTCCCCAAAATGGTCACAATGTGTGATTTTAGGTCATGCATCGTCCTGTGCTACGCAAGAGCAACTCTGTTCATTATAGACATGTCAGATGAAGTTAAATCTCCACTGGATTTGGGTTTTATGTGCTGTTAACAATTCTGTGTAAGGCCTTTTTGAAAAAGCCTGGCTGGAATGTCCTAATCTCTTTTGTTTGATGAATTCATCTAAGATTTTAATAACTTGCATATTTATCTAACTTTACTAAATTTACTGATTAGAACACTCCCTGCTTTCTCTTTTTCTGGGGCACTTGAGGACTTTTGCAAACTTTCTTACAACCCCCCCCCTTTTTTTTTTCTTTTGCTAGAATATTGGCTGCTTCTCCTTGGTTTACTGTTACTGGTATGATGTTGCTGTTTGTTTGGCTGCTCTAAAAGTTATGAATTCCAAAACATTTTGGGATTAAATGAATAGTTAATTTACTACTGTTTCTACTGTTGGTTATGAAATGGATCCATTTTCTGAATGTGCTGTTATAAGATGGAACTCTTTGTTAGCTAAAAGGTTGGCAGAGCAGAAGTAGAAAATATAACTATTTTGTATCTGCCAAAGAGAAATAAAAAGATTAGTTTCTTGTTTGTGAAGATGTAAAGCTATCAGCAAATGTCCATATCTTTATGGGATTACCTTGTTTACCAAGTAAGAAAAGCTAAAACCCAGAGGAGAATTTGATCTCAAATCCAGAGAGCATATTTCCTGGAAGTTAGCTTCCTCCAAAATTAACTAGTATTTACCTCCTGATAAATGTGATTAGGATGGCGTGTAATTTATTTAGATAAAATGTAGTGCTTGGCTGCCCTTTTCTATCCTAGGATGTTCTCTGGATAAAAGAACTCTTCATGTTTTTGGCACTTTTTCTAGTTTATTGAGAGAAAAAGTAGCTTCTCCTTTGATTGTGTTATGGTTGTGGTTACTTATGCCATTATTAGCATACACTCTCAGCACCTGATATGCTGCATAAAATTGACAAAATATAAAATTGTTTGACCAGATGGCATGCTTACTGTTTATCTTCACATAAAAATGCCTTTCTGAAAGTTGACTCAGAATTTTCTGTAGCTTGATTCATTTTTCTCGTTCATGAACCACATGCAGATTTGAATCACGTATTTCTTGTTTGACAGAAGTATCAGCTGTATCAATCTGTATCAGAATCAAATGTATCACAAGAACACCATAAAAATAAATGCCTGAGGTATAGTGCTAAGAGGGCAACATTTGCAAATAAAAATACTGCATTTTACTGAGTAGAATTATTTACTGAGAATTTTCCTATTTCAAGAAAATGTTATAATTGCAAAATAAAAAGTAAAAATAATGAAGTCAATAATACTCCACAACGTGAAGTACAAATAACTACAGGAATGGGTGGGAAGTGCCTGATTAATTCCCCAGTTTTTAATATATAAAGCAAACTGTGTCATTTACATGTATATAACATACAGTAATTGTATCAGCCTCTATCATGAGTTGTGGAATACCTGCAACGTTAAATTTTAGAGAATCTTTTGTATCATAAAAAACACAATGCTACGTGTACAGGGGTAATTACAACATTTCACAACTATATGAGTTGGATAGACAAAGTAGTTTCATCAAGTAGATGCTTGCCAATGTTACTTGTGTTGCTTTTATCATTGTTCAATCATTAAGATTTGTTACCACATGTCTCTAGGAAAATGAGTAACATTCGTATTGTTACATGTACAAACAAACATAAAAATATTAGGAAATTTCACAGTGTTCAATGATAGAATATAATTAATTCAGTGGGAAAATTCTCAGAAGCATCCACTTAAAGCTTAAGCTTTAAAGCATACAGTTTTTTGAATTTTAATTCAGATATTTATAGGAAAGAAAATAGACCAGGTAGCAGATGACCATACAACTGATCTGACAGTCGGTTTCCTTATGATTCCTAATATGAAGGGCAGAGGACAATATTTACAGTTTGCCAAATTAAAAAAAATGGCAGGATAATGATGAGGTTGGTTTTGGAATGCTAAAGGCACACCAAAAAATTGAACGCCAATGGCACAGGGTTAGGGGTACTAGGTTGCATGTTTAGCAAGGTTGCCTATCTCCCTTCCCCCCACTCCCAAAAAAGAAAGAGGTCTTTTTGGATGGTAGAGACCATGCTGGAGAAGAACATCTGGAAACAGGTGTTTTTGTGATTCACCACGTGCATCATGGCAGTTATTTTGCTACAGGGCCTCCAATATATTCTCATAATAACAAATGTGCCTACTGATCTAAAAAGATTGGCTGCTTCTGACTTGTATATCTCATTCATTTCAGTGATAGCACTTCGTGCTTACATGGAAACAAATCTATTGTACTCATTTTTTAATTAAAAAATATGACACATTATAAGAACCTTGCCATTTTTATGGTTTGATATACAGCTTTGGATCCTAGGATTTCATGTATAAATAGGAGATGTGTGCTATTGATTCTTCCCACAAAAAGCTAACTTCCCCTCCCTCAATAGCTGTTTGCCCTTCCCTGTACATCTCATTGTGAACTGTTCTAGAATGATCTTAGAAGTGGCTTTCTCTAAGGTCTGTTGTGTGAAATAATTCTTTGGATCAAACTTACAAAGACATTTGACATCAAGACACTCTATTTAGTTTTGGACAGAAAACATTTCTTCTGTCCAAAACTGATAGAAAGCTGACAATTACTGCATTTATTTATTTATTTGTCTAATTTATATAGCCGCCTATTTCACAAACCAGTGACTCTGGGCATTACAGTACTTTTGACCAGAACTCACAGAAAATGTGTCTGTAAGTCCATATAAAACATTAAACATTATTGTTTATCATTTAATTAACTGGCTCAGTTTCAGGAATGTTCAACTTTTTTCAAGCTTCATATTTATTTTAAATTCAAAGGATAATTGCACAGTTTGTTTGATCAAGTACTTTGTTGTTAAATGTCCCTAAATGTTGTCTACTTTCTCTTCAGCTATCTGCATCATATTGGTGCACTTATTGATAAGATACAGACTGCATTTCTTGCCAGAGAGTGTTGCTGTTGTTTCTCTAGGTGAGTACGGATAGTAGAAGAAATGATAGCCGTTGATATTCTTTAAGTCCAAATTGTAAGTTAATCCAGTGCTTGCTTTTTGTTATTTGCCTATGTAACACATTTCCTTCATAAGATTCAGGACAGTGTAAGTAGTTTTCCCCCCCTCTTAACTGCAGAAAATCCTGTGAAGTTTATTAGTGTGAAGGGGAGAGATGATATGACTGGTTCCAAGTCAATCACTGAGTATCATGGCTGAACAAGGATTTTAACCTACAGTCTTCAGGTTGAAGGTACTTTAACCACGATGATTATACAAATTTGTTGTAAGAGAGAGAGTGAAGGATGCAGGTTATTATTGTGCAAGGAAGAATGGCAATATCCAAAACCCTCTCGGTAGATCTGGCACTGCTGTTAGCAGTTTTAGCACCTCTTCTGCCTGTAGTAGTTCAGAGTTGTGAAAGATATAATCTTGGGCAAAGGATTTCTGGGACTCATTTTTACCCTGCCTAATAAGTGACTGGTACTTTGAGAGCTTTCACAGGAGTATCTTGCTTTACTATTTCAGAACAGGGTAGGATGGAAGAGTACCTCCCCAGCTGAGTCTGAGCTGTTATTTCTCCTGATCCTGTATGGCTTAAGTTGGTGGGCTTTTTTAAAAATCCAGATATATTAGCCTATAACTCCCATTATCATCAGTCAATGTGGCTATTAGCTCAATTATTATGCATAATGAAAGGTATTGGCCAAAACATATGGAGGTAACCAGATTGGGCTTGGCTGGACTTTGAGAACCCTAAGACTAGTAGCTAACAGAGAGCCACCTGTTTCTGGATTATGGTTGTTGTTTCAGCCATTGAGAAGATTGTTCCTATAAATATATGAACAGCTGTGCTACGTTTCTAGGGCATCAGCAGGAACAAGTGTAAAATCTGATAACTTGCATCATAAACAGTATGTATGGTCACATTTAGAGGGAAGCACACAGAGTTCTTATGAATAGAATTTTTAGGGTGAGCTAAAGAATTTATGATGTGATAAACTTGTGGTTCCCTCCCCTGCCATTTGTGATTAGGTAAATATAAATTCCTTTAAGTTTTGCTCAACTCCTCATACCTATCTGGATATTTTCCAGGCTGGCTTACAGCCTGGAATTTTCTAATGGTTTTCCATCCATTTTACCAAAGTAAGGCTTGACATATCTCGCTTTGCATGTAATGCGTCTATCTCATATATTGGT